GGCCAATTAATGTCACACTTTAAGCATCTAGAAATATGGAAAAACTGATTAGAGATAACATCCTGAAACATATGTTTAGTCGCAATATTGTAAGTCTCAATCAGCATAGATTCCTAAAACCCACATCACGTTTGACCTGTAACCCAAATTTCTTTAACCATTTGGCCAGTGGCTGTGACAGTAGACAACTTGTACTCTTCATATACTTTGACATTTCTATAGCACTTGACCAAGTCAACAAACTGCTACCAATGAATAAGCTGAATTCCTCAGGAATACATGACCCGCCATTAAACAGTCCCCAATTCTCTGACTTGGGACTGCGACCTCAAAACCTACCCTAACCGCTTCTCGAGTAGTACATGGTAGCGTCATATGGTCCCTCCCATTTACCCTTCATATTAACGACATATGTGCTTGCTCCTCACATGTTAAACAGCTCACCTTCGCAGATGACCTGAAAGTGGCACTTAAATTCCAGTATAATGACCCAGGGTACTTTCGGGATGTTGTGCAGAGTGGATCATATAAAGTGGCTGTGCAGTAATCCTTATGGAATCTACAATTCAATCTGAAAAAAATGGTTGGATCTGCTTCGGCTCACCCTCAAGTGACCTTTTAATCTCTCCAGATTTCAAAAAGTCGTTGACTTGAGACTCATGTAATCTAGTGACCTTACATTTTCGAGTCAGATCGCATCAGAGACTGGAAAGTTGAGGTTGCCCTTAGGATGCTTACTGAGAAAATTTCACGACAATGAAGCCAAACTCATACTATTCAATAAATGTTAGATCACTATGAGAATACTGTCCATTTAGTATTAGCAGCACTAACATACGTGACAATCTGAGAATGTAAAGCATCCAGCGAAGTTTCATATCCAAATTACCTGGATATGATTGTATGAGAGACTGCATCTCACAGCGTATGTCTTTATATCTTGACCCACTGTGGAAGAGACGAGTTATGATTAACTTAATATTCTTCCTTGGAGTCTTACACAAAATATCATTCTCAGACAGTAAGGTCACAACTCTAACCGGGAGGATCTTACGATCTGCGTAACCAAACATGCACAGTGATAATAAAAGCCTTTGAATCATCATCATGCCACAACTTCTTAACGGTCGGGCATTCTAAAATATGGGACAGTTTATCCCTGGAATTCAGAACCTGTGCTTAGAAATAATCTTTGCATGCCTTTAAAATGGTGATAAAGAGTTTAAAGTATATGTCATTTCAGATGACATCTCCCATTCAACCTTTGTCACAGTAGAAACATTACAACTTCTAGTCCTGTTTTCGGAAGGCACGATGATTAACATCTTAATTGTTAGTGAACTCAGCCATTAAACCATGTGAAGTACATGCATTGGACAGAAATGACCATATAACTGCTTGCTGAACAGTTTAGCGAAGGAAATTCTAGTGGGCAGGCCGATGATTTCGATTGGGAAAAGTGGTAAAGAAATGGCCACATCTTGAAGATGTGCCGTGAACAGAGCTGCATGGTTGTGAAGTTAGGTTACTAATTGGGCGTGTCACTCCCGAAGCCCAAATGGTCTTACCTTAATATTTCGGAAGAGGTAAAATTCTTGATGACACCATGGCTTTGCTAGGTTCATTTTCACAGGTGGGTTGTAGCATGTATGATGGAAGAATTGTGAACTGTATCCCGCAAAGAAGCAGCAAGAAACATCACTTAGACGATATGTGTAACTATGAATTAGCTGATTTGCATTTCTCTGACGAATCCTTGATAGACAACTAGAAAGTGCTCAATATAGCTCACCTGGTAACCCACGGCGAAGATCGTCACTTCCCTGATTCTTCACTTTTGAAAGTAGAAATTACTTTAGATAGTAGTAGCTACGAACTAACAAGACACAGATTTGAGAACACAAAATGTTGGTTCAGGAAGCTCTTCGTGAGGGCTGCGCCTGAGCTGTGCAGCCAAGTATTAACATGGATACGCAACAGTGGTTCCACCACAGGGGCCCGACCCCAGTTGTTGCCCGTAGTGTCACTCACTCCACCATGAGGTGGCCTTTTAGAAGAAGTCAGTTAAAACAGGCGTGGGTTTGGATTGTTCAATTAGAGTTGACGACAAGTCTTCGAATGACTCCCTGTATCAGCAATCACGAAGAACAACGTATTCACTGAGTTTTCACAAGGAAGTGGTTGCCTTATCCTAATATATTGAAAAATGCGTTCACACAGGTGAAAGTTCTGGAGGCCAGCTGTTTTGTTTGGATAAAAGCAAAAAATAACCGAGTGGGAAGGGAATACTACTTACCATTTCCACTCATTCTCGGCCGGCACAAGTCGCCTAAGTAAGTGTGACAACAATATAGCTCTTACAGAATTTTTGTAGTTGCCACATTGGTTGAGACAAGCCTCTAAGTAGTGACACTTCATCTTTATGGAGATAGCTATCAAACATTATGCGAGAGTTCGTGCCTATCGTAGCCCCCTATCCAAGTAGACCGCACATGCACACCAGTACCTTAGACAGGATGAGGCGGCTTGACTGACTAACTTCGGACTTAGTTTCAGTCACTGGTCGTCCGCATTCCATTCCATGGTTAGTAAACTTAGCCTGCTTCAGGGTGCTACTATTCTGTGTCATACTGCGAAAACCATATTCGACTTTCGCAGTGTCATTACTAGACCGTGGCGAATTAGGCATATTAACAGAGCCATGATTTGGTGCTCCGGTCTTAGAAGCCGGTACGCGGGACAGCTTTAACTCGATTTATTACCTCTCCTAGCTAAAGCCTTGGTCACGACAGTTTATAGTATAATAATGCTCTTCTAAAGGTGAAATTCGACTGTCGCAGTATCAGTTACTGCTCAGAATTATTAGTTTACAATAAAAGAATCATCAGCGGAATGTTGGCCTTTAGCACCTGAAGCTTTGGCAGCAGTTCGAGACAGTAAGCCTAATCACACAGAGAGTCGATATGAAGGTGATGACTGAATTAGATTTATCGGAAAGGAAGATCCGGTTTCACAAGAATATAGTTCACAAAATGTTTTTTCTAGTTGGAGAGGAAAGCGCACATCCGTATTCAAAGCACGTAGAAATGCAAAACTTTATGGACAAGTTTTCATATTTTGAGATGGTGGTAAGTGTATGTTGGAGAAGATGGGTATGGACCTTTTCACAACATTTTCCATAATTCGGGGGAGAAGATGGGTTAGATTTACCAGGTTACAAAACTACAGGAATATATCTAGACCATTATCTAAAGTGTGAAATGATGTGGCTGGTTTCCTTTGAGTCCCTCATGATGTGTATGATTATTTTTATACTCTTTCAACAACATAAATGTCGACTTTTTTCCCCACTTTAAAAACAAATTCTCAGTTGGACAGAAATGTGGAGTTTCTTAAGTTGCGCCAAACAGCAAATTTTCTCGCAGTGCCACTACTGCTGAAAAATATGACAATGATGCGGATGACGTATGAAGATAAATTAATTTGCTTTTGTTGAAAATCTGCCTGGAATTCATAAGTAAAAGCCATGGATGTATGTAGTGGTCAACCACAACCGCCCACTAGACAAGATTAGGAAAAACGTCTGTGGAACTTGTTACAGAGGCTGGCATTTTTGTGACAATTTAAGATGAATGTAGTCTAAGCTGATCTGGAGCTAATTAAACAGCCATCGCGTATTGGTTACTACAGATTAGTGACCTTCCTTCTTTGAACTATGACAAACAGTCTGAGTTTTATGTTAATTATCCTTACTCAAATGCCCACTGTTTCGTACAAATCTTTCGTGATTACTGTACTATTCTCGCTGTATGTATTTGAACAGTTCATTTCGCACGTTCATAGTATTCCTTGTTTTTTCAACTGACAGTGCAATGAAATAATCTTTCCATGTTTTCGACGCAGATAAAGTTTTGGGACAAAAATATGTTTTAATAAGGGGCAAATATCAGGCGATGTACTGTCAGTGATATCTCTGAGGATTGGGAAATTCACAAGTTGGTTTCATTCTATTTTCCACTTGCGCAATAACCATATCGATTGCGATCTGAAGCCACCCTGTGGAATTTAGAACTGTGAACTTCCAGCAGAGGGACAGGGGGTTGCAGTTTTGCGCTAGTAGTAGTAATTCATTTGGAAGATTTGGTCTCTTCTGTCAGCGTGAACCTTAGCGGCATTTGTAGTATTTAAGTGTTAGCTGTAAGTGCGCATTTGCTAATGACCTATATGCTTGCTCAAAATTATCAAAGTATTACTTATAAAGCCACTCTGGAAGGCAGCATAACTTCTTTTGATTATTTGGAATAGGTAGATTCATCTCGTGTGACTGTATACGGCTGTGAAAAATCACCGTAGTGCCTGGGAAATAAAGCACTTACCACAGATCGTCCATGTTAAAGAGAAAAGGCCGGTTCGTCCTTCAAGTTTTTCCGAATAAAGCATTGGTTTACTCATAGATTACAGTAAATTTGGTGGTGGTCAGTCTCATGTTGTTAAACTTCTGGCATTATTATGTCAAGTCGCAGCTGCAGTCCATGAGAATGCCTTTACAGCATTCAGGCTACCTGAATATCATGGTTCTAGTTGATACTGACGGAATACTAAGCTGAATGACGGAAAACAGGCAATTATATACTGTTTATAAAGAAGTCACCCAAGAGAGAACTGATCTCTCCATTGATTGCGATCTGCTTGAACAAGCATAGGGTACTTAGACCCCAACTGAAGCATTTATTTCAAATCTTTGTTATTTGTGATAATCGTGTCAAAATTCAACCATTTGTTCAGCGCATGGGATTAAATAGGAGCAGTGGATAGCATCTGCAAGTATAAGTCAGTCTAATCAGACTTTTTATTATTGTGTGGTCTATTCTTTTATTGATTCGTGAAATAAAATTATTGATTTTGCAAAAATGGATCCTTTCTGAATGTTTTAAATCTGGTATGCAGACATGAATGTAATACTTTTACTACATTAACTTTCATCGCCTTCCAAAGCAGCGCAACAACTTTGTTTACAGGCGGTCTGTCAAATATACATTCATGACTGGAACTTTGACACGATATAATGTGTCTGTTGATGATGGTTTTGTCAGGGAAAGTACGACATTCAGAGAATTAAGTAGCAATGCGAAATGTATACTAGCCAACATACTGTCGATAACAAATGGAGACTTAGGGAAAACGGCTTCATTTTTAGATAAACTTTTAAACGAGACTCAAGAAAAAATTCGATCACTGACAGACAATGATATGAGTGATGAAGAGTTTTATACAAGGCTAACTAATCTGAAAAATGAGCACAGAGATACTCTTGATATAATTGAGCAGCTTTATTTAAGTTCAGGTAAATTCACTGAAGACTTGCAGAAGGGAGATAATATTTCGGAAGAAGTAGCCTCAAATGAAGAGAATCAAAGTCCTCTTGAAAGGTAGGCAAACTACTGGAACTTCTTTAGCGAAAAATAATAATTCAGCCCCAAGGATATTTGTCGAACTAATAATTTAGTACAACGAGAGGATTACTACGAACACGATAGAAGTCATATGTTCCTTCCACAGGCAAATAAATGTCACAGTTTTAAACCCGAAGTCAACTGCTGTGAAGTAATAAGAACAGGTAAGATCATCTAGTTTGTGATGGTTTGTGTTGTAATTATTCTACTTTGGTCGGCTTTGAATTCATAATCTGAAAACAATTTCAGGAGAATGCAATGCGGATTTTTGAGTGTCTTTGTTTCAAAAGCATTTGAATAGTTACATCCTCTTCTTTTCTGACATTGTTCGTATATAGAAATGATTCTTCGTTACAATGCTTATGATTTTAGAGAACTCATATCACCACTTATTAAGTTAATCAGTAGTCTTGATTGCAAGATAACTCTCACAGGGGGAATTGTAACTTATGCGTCAGGAAAAATTGCTGCTTTCACCTGAACAGAAACTTTGTGACTCTGCAGACTACCAGTCACTTTTCTTTGTCTTTCTACCTGTCTTCCCTGTCGAGATTTCTAAGAAAGTAAAGTATGTTAATTGGAAACAATTCATAATCCTCAAGTGCTTCGGAGTTTCAGTGGTAGAGTGCTCGCAGACTATATGACTGTTCCGAGGCAACTCCTAGCCGGCCAATGCTTAAACCTTTCCTAGTTTATCATCTGACAGTGAACCAGTGAAGGAGGAAAGGATGGGTGTGAGGCTAACTGCCCCACTGCTAAAAACCAACATCACCGCTCTCGAAACTTCAGGGGCTTGAAACCCTATGTTCCGCTCGAAACGCAAGGAATGAAGAAGATAATCCTTGAACACTACATTTTACTGGGGTTGGTAAGTAAAAGAAAATATTGCGAAACTAAGTATTTTCATTAATGAAGCTTAATATTTTGCCAAATGCTGATTCTGCCTATGTCTTTATGAATCCGCAAAGTGATAGGCAAAGTAGTTACTGAAATAGAGTTATTTTAGTAGTTTAAATAGGCTTTGTTTGTTGCAGTAAGAAATATATATCCAGGCGATATAATTTCTAGTGTTTTAGTTTTACATTCACACTAACTTTCTGCTAGTTGGTTTCAAAAACAAATTAAATGAGATCCCTTAGTTTCTTTATTATGTGTTTGTTATGCTTATTTTGCTAGCAAACACTTTTTGGAATGTATTCAGAAAGTTAGTTAATTTTTAACAAAAAAGTTTGAATGAAGGTACCCTATTTAATTAAGCTACTTGGAATTTCAACTGTTACTACATGATTGGCGTTAATGATCAGCTACGCTTAAGCTGACCGGAAAAGTTAAAATAACCCTAGTTTTAAATGGTAATCAGAGCTCGATGATGTATTTCATACTAAATGGTTTTAGGTCATTTCTGAACTTATATTGCACTTTTCATTGAGTCGGTGGTAATAATAAAATAAATCTGTGTACATTTCTAACATATTGTGTACGAAGTCGGTGAAGGCGATGGAAAACTCTCCAGAATATGCACTGTGATATTCATCAGTCTGAAACCAAAGTTTGTATGGATGCTATTACTAAGTGAAGTAACTTTTGTTCTCGAACAATCAACTACCGGGACCTTATATCACTTCAGGTTGTTTGCATGATACCTTGTCATTAGTACAGTTCATAAATAACAAGTGGGAGTCGTTTTAATTCAGCAAATTATTTACGAACTGATGATGTTTCCTTATTTGTTATGTATCTAAAATGCGTTATGAACGAAACTGAGACATATCCAGTGTCTGTACAGTCTTAGTTGGGATGAAAGCATCTACCTAGTGAGAATGTCAAATGCGTTTGTTTGAATCCTTACAATGTGCTAACTTTAAGTACATTGTCATATAACCAATACCTGTTTTACAAGAAAGCATGTTAATGTGGAACGATAACAGTAAACTAACGCTTACATTTGCTTGGAAAGACATTGTGTTGTGGCTTTGTGACACACTTTGAATGTCACTATACATAATGTTATTTGTTTCAATTTTTAAATTTTATTCAAAATATTAAATTGCTTTGTTGTAGGGACTAGTGAAAATAGAACAAATGTTGGTGACGATGACAATAATGATGTTGAAAATGACTGTAACACATCATGTTCCTCTTGGAGACACCACATTACTATACCAGAACCTTTTGCGATGACAAAACGAGAAGAAGCCCTAAAACAAAGCAAGAATGCACAGTATGAAAATGAAATGTCTACGTCTAGTGTTGTCCAGAAAGATAGTGATAAGGAGTGCAACAATCAATTTAAAGCTAAGCCAGTCCCTTCACACGTGTACTTACCACTGTATGAGAAAATAATGGAGAAAAATGCATTAAGACGTGAAGCTGTTAAAGCGTATAGCAAAGAAATTTTAAAGGCAACTGAGAAGCCGTTCACTTTTACTATTAGAGAAAACCTGAAAAGGGAACAAAATGAGTAAGCCATTAATTATATAAAAACAGAGGATACATTTTAAACTATTTTTCAACTGAGTGTTTATTCTCTTCTGATTTTAGAGAGTAAAACATAATCGACACTCCACCAGGATATTGACTGTTGCAATATGACCACTAAAACTTTGCTGTTTCATGAAAGAAGTAATGGATAGCGAATTTAAAGTTGAAGCTCTTCAGTTATGATTATTGATTTACTGATGGAATTTAAGTAGTTAAATAGAAGGCTTATTGAGCATCTTCCAACTAGAATAATCTTTAGCACGTGTGTAATTTCTGGTTGCTCATCCAAAGCTGAAAGTAAAGGCTATGAATGCAGGTCTTAGCTATGGATATCTTTCCTTAATTGCTCGCATTTGTTGAAGCTCCGTTATTAGTAATAGTGGAGTTAGGTAAAGAGACGAAGTCACCACATAAGGCTGTGAAACTTTATCTACTGAGACTCCTGGGAATTATATTACTTATGCCAAGCCAAAAACCTACCTCAGCTAGCAATGCTATCTTAAATAGGAAAGAAAGTTAGAAGTGTTCAGATTAAAACACAGTACCAAGCCATGGTGTTGATTTTAGCCTCTTGGGCAGGGAAGGTCCTCAGCTGCTAAGGATTAACAGTTGGTGATATCAGAATGGCGTTGCTGTATCTATTCCCTTTTATCTTCTAAATCTTGGAGACTAAACTTTTTATTAAGTTATTCTCCTTCCCACAGCCATTTTTGTTTAGTGTAGTACCATAAATGCCTTTCTTTTACTTTGTCTGGTTCTTCACAGTGTAATAACTTGAAATGATGCACGTCTATGCAAAGATCTACTTCGATCTGTCAATCAGGCAACTAGTTAAACTATGAATTTTTGACATAAATCATTAGCGAATAGATACTCTCAAACCACAGTACTAAAATATCTGCGTTTTGAAGACGTATAAGTGATGAACTAAAGTGCCCATTTATAGTTGTTGATTCATGGGTTGTATAGGTTGCCTGTCTGTCTGTTTTAGACATAGAACTTTGCACATATGTGCGGCAGTTCGAGTCGCCACATTCCCTCCTTGTAGCACACAAAGCAAGAGAAGAAAGTAGAAGAAATGCATAATATAGACAGTAAACAGAGGTGTGAGACAAAGGAATAGTAATAACGGAGAACAAAACAGTTTAATTGGAAATCATAATTCACAAGGAGTGGATGCATCTGCACCAGCCAATGAGAACGATTTTGAGCCATGTCACCAATTGTTTCCAACCTTTGGTTTTTACCGTCCCGAGGACCCCAACCAGGAAGTCTACACCTTCCTACGTGGCTTGGACTAACTGTAGTAGATTTCATTGACTGGTGCCATGTTTTCGTTTGACCGCCGCTAGCTCTTTTCCAGCCTGACACTTTATCAGCTAATATTGCCCATTGTCGAGGAAGGCGATGACTAGGCATACGTAGCACATGTCCTAACCATCTCAGTCGATATAATTTCACAGTCTCGTCGACTGATTTCCCCTCCTTACCTAGCACTCGACGCCTAACCTCAATATTGCTCACCTTATTATACCACTTCACACGGGAGATAGAACGCAGACACCTATGATCAAAGACAACTAATCTTTTCATGTCTTCCACTCTCAATGGCCAGGTCTCACAGCCTGCCATAAAGGAGGACGGAGCGGACTGTTGATCAGTACACACGCCCTTTGGTCGATAGTCGGATATCACGTCTACGCGAGAGACGGCGTAAACTGGCATATGCGAACCTAGCCCTCTGTATTCGTGCTGAGATTTCGTCGGAGATCAACCCGTTGGGGCTGATGGTACTTCCCAAGTAAGTGAACGTGCTCTACCACTTCACTTCCTATTTCTAATCTAGGGGTCGGTGTAGTCCAATCTTGCAGCATTATCTTACATTTTACAGGGGCGAATTGCATGCCAAACGTACGAAGATAGCTGCTCAAAGTGTTCAGTAGACTCTGCATTTTGTCAGCATCCTCGCCTAGAAGGACTATATCGTCTGCATATTCTAAGTCAACGGGATTATCCCCTGGTAGCATGTCAATCCCCGAGTCTCTGAAGTGAGTTAGGGTTAAGTCCATTAGTACGTCTATGATGAAGTTGAATAGAAATGGGGATAATGGGCATCCTTGATGGACGCCACTAGTCGTCATCACTTCAGATGACAACTCGCCGTAAGCCCTCACCTGGCTGCATGAGTACAAGTAGAGTGCCTTAATCAGTGCAATGTATTTTCTCGGCATTCCCTTTACAGCCAAGCATCGCCAGAGAAAAGTTATACACTAATTTTTCTATGCGGTAAGAAAACTTGAGTCGTAGGGAGTGTGAAAGGTCGGTATAGAAAGTTCCTTGATATAGAGAACTTTTACCTATTATAGGGTAAATTAATATCAGATTGATAACTAGTTAATTATTACTGGTATTATTCTCTAAGCCGAATTATAATATGCTTTGTTAAAAGAATTAGAACTTGATTACACTGTCTGCAAACGACCACTAAACACTGAAAATAACTAATAATCTCCGAAAATGCCCACTGAGTCATGAAGAAAATAAATGACAATTCAGACGAAATCATCTTCAAAGGCTGTACATGAATTTTTATAATTGGATCCCTTTGAGAAGAAGGAGAAATCTGATCCACTCCATATCCTCAAGAATAAGAAGGACATGTACCAGTGATACAATCGATGGTGAAATGGAGTAACTCAGACAAGTCCGCATAGAAAATGGATATCCTTCAAGATTCTTTAAGAAAAACATGAAAGTAAAGCAAAGGCTCAAAAGAACTAGACGGTGCAGAAGAAACTGATATTTATGAACGTTCAATTTAAAGGTGAAACCGTGGCTTCGATTCTGAAGAACCCCTGCTTATCCAGATCACTGAGAAAATCCTTCTTTTCGGATGAGCTACGGATCGATTTCTACAGCTGACAAATGATCAGTGGATGTGTGAAGGATAAACTGTCACTTTAGGCCACTTCGCTGTGTGTTTATAAATGCTCCTGCTCATGAGGAGACACTTATATTGGCCACATAAAGCGTACACTTTCTAAACGCATCTCCGAACATTATCTGGTATGGTTAGCAAAAGGACAGTGTAAGACAGCCACTAGCTAAATTCTCGAGCACTTGGTGAACTGAGGCCACAAAGCTCCACCAGAGTCGCATATCAAGATTATCTACAATGTGAGGCCAAATGGTACAAAGGACGTTAGGTTTTGACATTTTTGTATGGTGGAGGCGTTGTTAACTCATCGATACAACCACAAACTCTGTATACAGAAAAAGTTTGTTCAGTCTCTTATTCTACATTGGTTTTAACCTCTTCACTAGTCGTTCCCTCTAAAAAATTTTCAATTTTACTTTCAGTTCGCTTTTACTTTAGTAATTAATTCACTGTTTTCACTCTAACATGGTCCTTTTGTACATTTTCTCACCCAATTACACTTGATAAATAGACATTCAACTACTACCTTTCTTCTCACTCAATAACAATTTTAGCCGTGTCAGATTTCTAACACTTTCTTCCTTTGTGCCGTTGAATATTGCGTAATTTATAATTTTAGACCCATTGGCAAGTATTCATTTATTTTATTTTGATTACAGCTTGACGCCACACCGTATTTTCAGTACAGGCATGGAATTTTCAGCATGGATATCAGTAGCCCAAATTTACAGGCCGACCATAGATATCGGGTGTGCGCCAGCAGGGAATCGAACCCCGGACCATGTGCATGGTCGGCGAGAGTCCTAACCAGTGTGCCACTGACGCAGCTTGTTAGCTAGACGTGAGACAGGGCAGATTTCGTACTTCATGAAGGCAGATACCTCGAGAAACATGATAGAAATACTTGTTGGCTGAAGGGAGGACAACATCAACGATGAAGCGCAGTCCATTTAAGTTTTCATATCATTTAGATTCCACTAAACTACTGGTACTCATGAACGGCTTTTATCTGAATTATCCTATTTCCATATTTTTTTTCAAATCAGTAATGAATGCTTTATAAAGAACTTCCTAGGTCAATATTTTCTCGCAATTAATAGGTGGGAAAAACGCCTATGGCAGGAATTCGACAGAGAATCAAATGCACGATGAATCAGTGAGGCTGAAAACCATAGAAGGGTGGCTAAATGGGTGATTCGCTTAGCTCGTAGCTTTATGAAGTTTGATCTGAATTTTCATGGAATAGATATCACGCATTACTAAATTTTTTTCAAGGTAGGGGGGCCATGTAGGTATCCAGTGTTCTTTAATTTTCAGTATTTATGTGGCTTATTGTCATTGTGTAACAAGATTTACTTCCAAAGGATAGCTGCCGAAATTATCTTAGGTAACTGAAGCCTGATAAAATCAAAACCCCACTGGACTTAATGTTGCGTGAGATGAGACAAAGTCCCCTATTCACCGAAGCAGTTCTAAAGTCATGATTAGTCTTTCCTCCTTGTTTTCTAGCTCAGTCTTCAAATATTGGTTTGCAGGGATTTGACTGATTGGTTACAGGAGAGAGAACCATCGGAAAGCCAGCGGACAGCCCACTGTTTCGTCAGCCTAGTTTGGGACTCTACTTCAGCAGTACGCATCCACCCCACCGACAGGGTTCGGACCCAAGACCTTCTGGTTACAAGGCTAGCGAGCTCGTAGAACATTACGCCACTGGGAACCGATCCAATGGCTTAATGGTCTACGAGCTCGCTAGCCTTGTAACCAGAAGGTCTTGGGTTCGAACCCTGTCGGTGGGGTGGATGCGTACTGCTGAAGTAGAGTCCCAAACTAGGCTGATGAAACAGCTGTCCAGTGATCCCTGCTGGCTTTCCTCATTATGAATCCTATAACCAGTTAGTTAGACCTTTTGAGAGAAGTGAGTGTGGAATTTTCCTTAAATTTTTTTTATTCTTTCTTCTTCAGTTTCAGTCGGGATAAAGATAAGTGGCTGCATAGAAAACAAACCCCATCACAGTTTAAAAATGACAAATCTATAGACCCTTTAAAGTTACCATCACAATTATATGAAAATAGATTTGAGCGTATGCAAGAGGATTCATTGTTAAACGAGGTTAAACGTCAACTACGCGCACAAAGACTCTTGCAGTCAGCATCTTTACCACCTGGTATGGAAGAACGTCAACATCTTATGAATATGCGTAAATTAGAAAGGAAAGCTAGAGATAAAAGGCTGAACAGAATTAGTAAGTTTCACTGTTTTCCCTGGTTGAAATGTCACTTTTAAAATGCATTCACATATGGTGTTATTCACTGGTTATCCACAGCAAAGTGAAGTTTTATCAATAAGATCAGAGTGCTTATAGGTGTTTGATACCTGTACCGCACGTTTTGTTTCATCTTAATCAATTATCTTGAAGTACTATGTTCTAGTCATCTGAGTTTACCAAGATTTGTGTCACTTATTTGGGTTGAAATTTAATTATTAGACTTTGTACTCATAATTTACTTGGTGGATGGTGACTAGCAGTAGAATCCATGATGCGCATTTCGTCCCATTTGGGACTCGTCAACTCGCTGGATGTACCTGCATTTCTCAGTGAGTGATGATGTTCCCACCTGAGACCAAACACTTCGGTCCAATCATTCAACGGGAAAATTTAAAAATTCTATTAAATCAATATGACCCGTTGCACAAGAGGTGGCTCTCGTGGCCCAAGTGCTCTAGTGGATAACGCTTTGGCGTTTGAAACTATGGGCAGTGGGTTCGAGCCTCGATGGGAACATCATCACTCACTGGGAAATGCAGGTACATTCAGCGAGTTGACGAGTCCCAAACAGGACGAAACGCGCGTTATCCTGGATTCCAGTGCTAGTCACCATCCACCAGTTAAACACCTTAAAATGTTGTTGAGTGAATGGCAACTCCATATAAAGACTGGAAGCAATTTAGTCTATAATAGCAATAGACAGGTTCAGCAAACTGCTACACACGTTCTACCAAGGAAGCATTTCATCTCATTTAAACATCAGAAAAAATATTTTTGATTCCTTTACGTTCCCAGTGGCTTCAGGCTAGAGGCTTGAAGTCTCGGTAGCAGTGGTGTTTATTTTTATAGGATGGGGTTGCTAGCCTCAAGCCCAACCTTCCGTCTTTACCAGTCTTACTGCTGGCTTAGCGAGGTTTGGGAGTGCGTCGATTGCCGGGAATCGAACTCCGGACCACATGAGGCGTGGTTGGCAAGCATTCTACCACTGTGTCACCGACGCCATTTAAACATATCCAATCTTAAAAGAAAATATAATCTACACTCCTTGTGAATGCTGATTTATTTCTAGGTGTATTGGATTTAGATAATGCTGAGACAGGAAAAAAACAATATCAATATTATCATCCAGCTCCAGACTTTAAACAGCTACATTGGAAGTCGAGTAAAGCCCTCCGACGTTTATGGAAACCACCACCAGAACCAACTAGACCTAAATCATTTAAATTACGAACAAGTGAACGGGCTAGTTCAGCTGATCGTCAAATGCTACAAAGTCAAAAAATAGAAAAGAAGGAGAATGAAAACAGGACTCGTTCTGCAACAAGACAAATAGTTAGTGAGTTAATCATAACAAATAATCATAAAAGTTTTTTTTTTGATACTAGTGTAACGACAGAAGACAAGGGCCAGGCAACAGATCGTTTATTCAGAAAATCAACACATATTTATACACTTTTATGTACATTATTATTCGTTATTATTAGCAGAGAAACAGCGTCTTCTGATTGGTTGTTTTCTCACTGGAAGTTATTCTGTCATCTCCTTGTGGCCGTTTCTTTGAAGGTCAGACCATATATCTGCTAATCGTATCCGCCCACGCAAAGTCTGCTGTGATTGGATGTCGAGTTAGTCTTTATTTTCGGTTTTTCTCATTACCAATATTTGGGACGTAAACATTGACGTATATTGCTGTCGACCAATTTTGGCTAGCAGACAGCTCTCACCACTCTAGGTCTTACAAATATTAAACTTTAGGAATTGTAAAATTTGACGCATAATCTAGAATATGTTCAAGTAATTGTTTAATTAATTTCCAGTTCACTTTGTGTTTAACAGGTTAGAAAATATTTATTTCTTGTGTTGTGATCAGGAAGAATAAAGCTTACTGATTTTCGATAGATCTATGAGTCATGTAGCCCAAGTTATCCACTCCCTAGCTTTCAGTGTACTTTAAAATGTATCCAAGTGCCTTACAGCTTAAATCAAATTAAAAGTTTTGCAAATCGATTAGTGGTGATTTGTCATGTAGACAGCTCGAGGGGTGAAACTGTCACCACATCTTCCTTTTGAAACCAGATTATTTAGATCACAGACTGTGAAATGAATGGTATGCAACTACTGATCTAAATGAATCAGTAGTATATATTTTTATCCTAAAATTTTATTCATGACTGTTTGGTATATTTTTTAAGTATATTTTTACCTAAAATATTCATTTTTTTGGTTTGTCCTAAAATCTTTTAACTTAGCACATGATGTCATAGAACCAGCTTTAGCAAGATCAACCTTTTTGCGAGAGAATTATATACGGTGAGTTGATGTTTTGCATTTTATTTAGCTATTCTTTGTGCTTTCATCTGAATATCCTATAATCAAGCTTATATATTTATCTGAGAATTCATGAGCTGTCTGATTTAATTCAATTTATTACACGCTTTTTAAACAGTAATCATAATTTTGATTGGACACTAGTAACTAGTGTGATGTGTCTAGTCCTTTCTTTGGTGCAGACTGAATTCTGTCAGTCAGGTTTTCAATGTAGCCACAATATTAGGTAGCTCACCATCACAGTGTACATTGATTTGATGATATTAGATGGTTGAAGGCAATCGGCAGGAAGCCTTGCCTGACCTAAGTTTCGTGCTAGTTGGCTTTCGCCAGAAAATTATCCACTACAGTTCTACAGGAGGTGAATCGCGAGCCCAAATAGCTCAGTGGTAATGTCTCTGACTACAGATGGAAGTGGATGAAGTGGGTTCGAATCTCAGAAAGGACATGAGTTCCTTCAAGGCAGTTGCAGATATGCCTTGCTGATGAGTGCCAACTAGCACGAAACCTTGGTCCAAGCATCATGGCTCCCTGCCTACTGCCTCTAAACATCTAATATTAGTAATCAGAATTACTAGAGCTTAGTCAACTTGAAGATCAGAGAAGGTAATAACTTGAAGATTTCGGAAAAAAATACTTTCGGCACTATTTTAGCTCGGATTGAACCTGCTTTTATTGATACTAATTATTTTAGGTCTAAGTAGTTTCAGTGAGTCCATTTGGAGTTGTCAGTATATGTTATCTCTTTCTGTGTGCATAAGTTTGGTCTGAGACGTTTGATTGCAATTGCTTCAGCAAATCGTAGTAGATTCGCTGTCCTTCGTATATTTAATATTAATACCATTCGACTTCCAATAGCTGTTTCCTTGACACTGAATGATGGTGAATACATCACTGTTTGGAATCAGACGATGGTATTAGATGGATCCATTTAATTTTGTCATCCTACTCCAAGTTTTTGTGTTACTTCCGTTAGTAATATATTGATTTATATATCTCGGGTCTTAGAGTGATTCAAAAATTCACATCTTTATACACATGTAAATTTAGGTGGTTATTGCATCATAGTTATGAATAGGTATCATGGTGAAATATTGTAAATATATGCAGTTGAAGGAATCAACGTCTAAATGAAGGTTTTCTCTTTGTAAGGATTGCCGGGTTCTGCGTTTTAAGTTGATCTGCAAGTCACTCACTGTCTTTAGTGCGACTTCATATGACTTAGTGACTGCTAAACCCCAAAAGATCTGTAGTTTGAGTGTGTCAACATAGACCTTCAATGTTGAATAAACAATTTATTCTATTTTACCCTGAATAGAAAGACTCTGTCAGCAGCATTTGAAATCAAGGGGAATGTCTATACTTTTGACATTTAAGTATGACAGTCAGGGTACTGAGGATAAATATCCCAATTGTTGCGGATCTGATCAACTTCATTTGTTGCTTACAGGATTTCATCATGAGCTGATATTGGTTAGGAAACCACTGGAAAACCTGGGAGTACTGGATAGCTATTTCGTCCTAATTCGAGACTCTTCAGTAGCTTACTAGCAACTGGCCCTATTCAGGTAGGTATTTACCTGGGGTTCTAGTGGGAGGCCGTGACCAGTAGGGTACAGCAGGTTGCGCGTGAGGACAAATACTCACCGAAGACGTTGGCTAGTGTTTGTGCTATGTCGTCAATTGGCAGAAGTTGGAATTCAATGGCTTAATGGTCTACGAGCTCGCTAGTCTTGTAACCAGAACGTCCTGAGTTCGAACTCTGGCGCTGGAGGCGTACTGCCGAAGCGTCCCGAACAAGGCTGATGGAACAGCTGTCCAGTACTCCCTGCTGGTTTTCCAGTGGTTCTCTAACTGATGTCACCTCATGATGAAATCCACCAACCAATCAATCAAATCCCTACAAAGCAGTGCTTGAAAATTCATTTGTTGCATCGGAACTTTTTACCACACACAAGTTGGTTTCAGTATTTAAGTGCATAAATATTTGAACGTTGAGTAAATGACTGTTGTTCTCCAAAATGTTGAATGAATTACCCGATTTCTAAGACAACAAAATTAATAATAACACCTTTATTCTGAAGTAACTGTCGGAAAGTATCGTGGATTTTTCGGTATGAAGTAAGTCATTGAACGAAATTCACTAATTCCGAGAGATTTCCGAGTTTACTTAGATTACAGGATTTTCATCATGAGCTGATATTAGTTAGAGAACCATTGGAAAACCACCTCGGAGTACTGGACAGCTGTTTCCTCCGTTCTAGTTTGGAACTGTTCAGCAGTACGCACCCACTGGGATTCGAACCCAGGACCTTTTGGTTACAAGGCGAGCTCGTATACCATTAAGCCATTGGGACCCGCCCGATCCAATTGCCAGCCCATGAATTCCAACTTCTGCTTATTCACAACATAGCGCGACCCCTAGCCAATGTCTTCGGCGAGTATTTGTCCACACACCCGACCTGCTGCACCCTACTGGTCAAGACTTCTCACTAGAACCCCAGGTAACTACCTACCTGAACAGGGTAAGTCGCTGGTGAGCACCTCATTGATATTCAAGTGTTGGTTGTTTCTGTAACCATATAAAAAGTGACTATGTGAAAATAATAATGAGTGCAATCGCTGGTGTCACTAAGATCACTTTCGACGGACTTCACTAAACAATTCAGTTCGTACTCTTAGCCAGTTGTGTTGTTCAATATTATAATGACTAGCATATATTGTTAAATAGTCGAATTTGTAGATTTAATATTGACATTTGATCCATGAGCACTACAAGCACTAACGTCTATTGATTTTGTTAGTGCATATTTAATCGTATGCAATTTGCATTTCCATACATTCGTAAATTTACAGTGCCTAGTTATGGTTACTAACAAGCTTCGTCAACCGTAGCCATAGCAACGATAAATAACTTTTTTTGAAACTTTGGTGAAATTTGTACACTTTATATTCATGACTGTGTTGTGGATAGACAGCACACTTTAGCAAGTGTCATGCGTTAGGGCATCGGTTGGCATAAAAAAGTAGATGTAGCCTAGATTTTAATGCAGGAATTTTTCCTGGACTGTTATGTTTTATAATAAGCTGATGTTATGAACAAATGTGCATAAATAATTTACTGTATAGAACAAACTAATTCAAATTTTATAAAGGGGTATGTGTTACATAATTACCAGTGTAATGACACAAGACAAATACTAAAAAACAGATTGCTTATTGAGAAAATCAAGTGACATTTATAGATTTTCACATACGTTATTGTCAGTGGAGAAGAAGCGTCTTCTGATTGGTTGTTTTCTTGCTGAAGGTTATTCTGTACTGCCTGTGACCGTTTCTTAGATAGTCAAGCCATATATCTGTGAATCGTATTTGCACACGTTAGGCCTGCTGTGATTGGTTGGTAAATTTCTCAAGGTTAATCTTTGTTATTGGTTTGTCTCATGACCCCTATTCAAGAGGTAAATATTAACGTAAATTGTTGTCTACAATTTTGGCTAGCAGACAGCTCTCATCACACCAGAACTGGAAATATCTCTTGAAGTTCGGATGAGAATTCACAGTCTGTAGGGATGTTTAGACTGAAAAAGATGAGAAACACATCAGAGACAATGAAGAAAAATCACCACGCATATTCAGTGAATGGAAGCTAGAAACTGATGACAGTTAAACACCAACTAAGTATTTTTAAATCAAGAAGCTGAATAAACAATCAAAATTCTTAGGATGCACTTAACAAGCTAACTACATGTAAGAAAAGAGTAACATTGCTGATAGCTGTAAATATAATCAAATAACATGTAAACAGGCATTTGAATGTGTTGCATACAAAGTGTATACACCTCTAGTGCAGAATAACATTTCTACAGTTGGTTTGTAAGGATTAGTTTTGTTTCTACGAGTTGATCACGGATTGATATCAGTTAGTAAACTATTGAAAACCAGCCGTGGAGTACTGGACAGCTGTTTCGCCAGCTCAGTTTGGGACTGTTCAGCAGTACGCACCCACTGGGATTCGAACCCAGGACCTTTTGGTTACAAGGCGAGCTCGTATACCATTAAGCCATTGGGACCCGCCCGATCCAATTGCCAGCCCATGAATTCCAACTTCTGCTTATTCACAACATAGCGCGACCCCTAGCCAATGTCTTCGGCGAGTATTTGTCCACACACCCGACCTGCTGCACCCTACTGGTCAAGACTTCTCACTAGAACCCCAGGTAACTACCTACCTGAACAGGGTAAGTCGCTGGTGAGCACCTCATTGATATTCAAGTGTTGGTTGTTTCTGTAACCATATAAAAAGTGACTATGTGAAAATAATAATGAGTGCAATCGCTGGTGTCACTAAGATCACTTTCGACGGACTTCACTAAACAATTCAGTTCGTACTCTTAGCCAGTTGTGTTGTTCAATATTATAATGACTAGCATATATTGTTAAATAGTCGAATTTGTAGATTTAATATTGACATTTGATCCATGAGCACTACAAGCACTAACGTCTATTGATTTTGTTAGTGCATATTTAATCGTATGCAATTTGCATTTCCATACATTCGTAAATTTACAGTGCCTAGTTATGGTTACTAACAAGCTTCGTCAACCGTAGCCATAGCAACGATAAATAACTTTTTTTGAAACTTTGGTGAAATTTGTACACTTTATATTCATGACTGTGTTGTGGATAGACAGCACACTTTAGCAAGTGTCATGCGTTAGGGCATCGGTTGGCATAAAAAAGTAGATGTAGCCTAGATTTTAATGCAGGAATTTTTCCTGGACTGTTATGTTTTATAATAAGCTGATGTTATGAACAAATGTGCATAAATAATTTACTGTATAGAACAAACTAATTCAAATTTTATAAAGGGGTATGTGTTACATAATTACCAGTGTAATGACACAAGACAAATACTAAAAAACAGATTGCTTATTGAGAAAATCAAGTGACATTTATAGATTTTCACATACGTTATTGTCAGTGGAGAAGAAGCGTCTTCTGATTGGTTGTTTTCTTGCTGAAGGTTATTCTGTACTGCCTGTGACCGTTTCTTAGATAGTCAAGCCATATATCTGTGAATCGTATTTGCACACGTTAGGCCTGCTGTGATTGGTTGGTAAATTTCTCAAGGTTAATCTTTGTTATTGGTTTGTCTCATGACCCCTATTCAAGAGGTAAATATTAACGTAAATTGTTGTCTACAATTTTGGCTAGCAGACAGCTCTCATCACACCAGAACTGGAAATATCTCTTGAAGTTCGGATGAGAATTCACAGTCTGTAGGGATGTTTAGACTGAAAAAGATGAGAAACACATCAGAGACAATGAAGAAAAATCACCACGCATATTCAGTGAATGGAAGCTAGAAACTGATGACAGTTAAACACCAACTAAGTATTTTTAAATCAAGAAGCTGAATAAACAATCAAAATTCTTAGGATGCACTTAACAAGCTAACTACATGTAAGAAAAGAGTAACATTGCTGATAGCTGTAAATATAATCAAATAACATGTAAACAGGCATTTGAATGTGTTGCATACAAAGTGTATACACCTCTAGTGCAGAATAACATTTCTACAGTTGGTTTGTAAGGATTAGTTTTGTTTCTACGAGTTGATCACGGATTGATATCAGTTAGTAAACTATTGAAAACCAGCCGTGGAGTACTGGACAGCTGTTTCGCCAGCTCAGTTTGGGACTGTTCAGCAGTACGCACCCACTGGGATTCGAACCCAGGACCTTTTGGTTACAAGGCGAGCTCGTATACCATTAAGCCATTGGGACCCGCCCGATCCAATTGCCAGCCCATGAATTCCAACTTCTGCTTATTCACAACATAGCGCGACCCCTAGCCAATGTCTTCGGCGAGTATTTGTCCACACACCCGACCTGCTGCACCCTACTGGTCAAGACTTCTCACTAGAACCCCAGGTAACTACCTACCTGAACAGGGTAAGTCGCTGGTGAGCACCTCATTGATATTCAAGTGTTGGTTGTTTCTGTAACCATATAAAAAGTGACTATGTGAAAATAATAATGAGTGCAATCGCTGGTGTCACTAAGATCACTTTCGACGGACTTCACTAAACAATTCAGTTCGTACTCTTAGCCAGTTGTGTTGTTCAATATTATAATGACTAGCATATATTGTTAAATAGTCGAATTTGTAGATTTAATATTGACATTTGATCCATGAGCACTACAAGCACTAACGTCTATTGATTTTGTTAGTGCATATTTAATCGTATGCAATTTGCATTTCCATACATTCGTAAATTTACAGTGCCTAGTTATGGTTACTAACAAGCTTCGTCAACCGTAGCCATAGCAACGATAAATAACTTTTTTTGAAACTTTGGTGAAATTTGTACACTTTATATTCATGACTGTGTTGTGGATAGACAGCACACTTTAGCAAGTGTCATGCGTTAGGGCATCGGTTGGCATAAAAAAGTAGATGTAGCCTAGATTTTAATGCAGGAATTTTTCCTGGACTGTTATGTTTTATAATAAGCTGATGTTATGAACAAATGTGCATAAATAATTTACTGTATAGAACAAACTAATTCAAATTTTATAAAGGGGTATGTGTTACATAATTACCAGTGTAATGACACAAGACAAATACTAAAAAACAGATTGCTTATTGAGAAAATCAAGTGACATTTATAGATTTTCACATACGTTATTGTCAGTGGAGAAGAAGCGTCTTCTGATTGGTTGTTTTCTTGCTGAAGGTTATTCTGTACTGCCTGTGACCGTTTCTTAGATAGTCAAGCCATATATCTGTGAATCGTATTTGCACACGTTAGGCCTGCTGTGATTGGTTGGTAAATTTCTCAAGGTTAATCTTTGTTATTGGTTTGTCTCATGACCCCTATTCAAGAGGTAAATATTAACGTAAATTGTTGTCTACAATTTTGGCTAGCAGACAGCTCTCATCACACCAGAACTGGAAATATCTCTTGAAGTTCGGATGAGAATTCACAGTCTGTAGGGATGTTTAGACTGAAAAAGATGAGAAACACATCAGAGACAATGAAGAAAAATCACCACGCATATTCAGTGAATGGAAGCTAGAAACTGATGACAGTTAAACACCAACTAAGTATTTTTAAATCAAGAAGCTGAATAAACAATCAAAATTCTTAGGATGCACTTAACAAGCTAACTACATGTAAGAAAAGAGTAACATTGCTGATAGCTGTAAATATAATCAAATAACATGTAAACAGGCATTTGAATGTGTTGCATACAAAGTGTATACACCTCTAGTGCAGAATAACATTTCTACAGTTGGTTTGTAAGGATTAGTTTTGTTTCTACGAGTTGATCACGGATTGATATCAGTTAGTAAACTATTGAAAACCAGCCGTGGAGTACTGGACAGCTGTTTCGCCAGCTCAGTTTGGGAATCATCGACAGTACGCACCACTGCCAGGGCTCAAACCCAGGACCTTTCGGTTACAAGGCTAGAGAGCTCGTATAACTTTCAGCCACTGGAACCCGATTCACTGGCCAGCCCATGAATTCCAACTTATACCATTTCGTGATTTATCGCGACCACAAACCATCCTTACTCCCGACTGGATGGACTCCACTGATCACGACTTCTCACAAGAGCTCCAGGAGACTCCGTCCTGTAGCAGGTCACAGCAAGCATCAGATTAATTTCCCATAGTTGGTTTGTAGGAATTAGTTTTGGTTTTACGAGCTTGCCTTGTAACCGGAAGGTCATGGGTTTGAACCCTGGCAGTGGGTGCGTACTGCCGCTGATTCCCAAACTAGGATGAAACAGCTGTCCAGTACTCCAGTGATGGTTTTCAATGGCTCTCTAACTGATATCAATCCATGATCAACTCGTAAAAACAGAATAACTTTCACAAAATTATTTCCCCCGTCCTGCTTTACTTCTTTTTCTCGGCTGACTGTTCAGAAAAAAGCATCACACTGTGTGTTACTCACTTTATTATAATTATTATTGTACCCTTGGGTTCCGAGTGGAACATAGGGCTTCAACAACACATGTCCGCTTTGTCCTGTCCTCCACGGTACTCTTCAGCTGGCCCAATGATTGGCCATAATCTCTCATCTCCTCCTCGTCACACGATGTCCTCCATGTCACCTACACACCAACGACTCACTCGTCGCTTCCCATTGGGGTCATTCGATGGTCTCCTCAGAGTGTACCTTATCCATTTCCATAATCTCCTACATGTTTATTGAATGATGAGTTTCTGGTTGCTTTTTTGCTATAGTTTCTTGTTGTCAATTCTTTCTGGCCACTTGATTTTCAGTATGGAGCCAGAGAAGGTGGCAGCTGTTGATAAAAGTCTGCAACCTGACTTTATGGTTAACCTTAGAACAAATACAATAATATTATCACATAGAAAAGTAACTGATCTTGTATTCGAGACCGTTGACGAACTTAAATATTCTTATAGATTGGAGTGTTTCCAGTGGGAAGTTTCGCATTTGTTGCCACTAAAGAGCTAAGTACATTTATTACTTGGATATGCAAATGTTTTGATCGAATTGCTAATAAGTAATATTAATACGCGTCGGTGGTATAGCGGTTAGGACGCTCGCCGACCATGCACATGGTTAAAGGTTCAATCCCCGGCCGGCGCACTCCTTTACCTCGCTAAGGCAGAAGTAAAAGCTGGTGAAGAGGAAAGGTTGGGCATGAGGCTAGCAACCTCATCCTGTAAAACTAAACACTGCTACAGAAACTTCAAGCCTCTAGCTTGAAGCCGTATGTTCCACTGGGAACGTGAAGGAATAAAAAAAATATACTAACACACTACTGATTACCTTATTTTCTTTTGTTTTCCTTTTTCCGTTTCATATATGTAGAAATTCCTTAGCGAAAGCAGATTTAGATGCAAAAAAGAAAGAGGAAACAGAACATTTAAAACGATTAAAATTAAAAGAGGTGTCAAATACAATGAAAGAGACACTGGGTGGACAAATTATATCGCCTAAAAAGATAATAGACTCTATCACAGAAGAACGTAAACGTCAGCTGATGTAAGTATTGAGGATAAAGATCTATATAAATTGGATTTTATTGTTACAGTGCCTTTTTTAAAATTAGCTAATCGACCATTATATTACCTTTTTTGGGACTCATTCCATCAATAAATGTCATTGTAGTGAACATTCAGTACATCCATGGTTCACCGGTAGAATACTCGCCAACCATGCCTCACTTAGTTAGGGACTCGATCCCTGGCCGTCTAAATCTTTCACTTTGCTTGGCCAGTAATAAAGCCGATAATGAAGGAAGACTAGGCATGAGGCTAGCAGTCCCATCCCATAGAAAACCACTGCCACCGAAATCTCAAAGCTCTAGGTTGACGCCTTACATTCCTCTCAAAGAGTAAAGGAATAAGAAAAAATGGAAATTCAAGATCGATGTTTGCTAAAGGCAATTTCGACTCAAATACGATGTGTTTGAGTAGTAAATGATCAGTTTATTTGATTTTGCTGGATGACAGTGTTTCGAACACAATTTATTCGTGTTCATAATCATATAAATTATAATCACACGACTTCGAAACTTGAGGTTTATACTTTTCTTCGTTCTCTCCTATTTGTCGTAGGGGTAGTAGAACTTTCCATATATCTGGGACAGGTGTTGAATCATTCCTATTACACGTATTTGCAGTTTATTCAGTAAACAAAGCTTCCGTTGTAATCAATCTCTCCCTCCACCCTGTTAAATTAGATTTTAAAACTGTCATCTTATCGTATCCCATTATATGGTTATGTGTAATTGCATGTAGTGAGTGGTATAGCTGAACTATTCCCCAGATTTCTTATTTTATTCGTGTCAACTGATCTAGATTTTGCTAGGTTTTTATGTTCGGCTAGTCTGACTGCACCTGTTTTACTACTTTAACTTATGTTTTTGACCTGACAGTCATTCCAGTAGGGTATTAGATGATTCCCAAACTAGGATGAAACAGCTGTCCACTACTTCAGTGCTGGTTTTCAATGGTTCTCTAACTGATATCAATCCGTGGTCAAAATGGTAATTTGTGTTTCGCGCTGACTGACTTTATTCGACTGAAATACAAAATTAACTCGAACAAAATAATATTTGATACCCATTGTACAAAATGTGACTCACTACACTGATGAATAATGCTTTGGCATCTGAAACAATGAAGATGTAAACACCAGCCAGAATCGGAAAGGCAAGATACACCTTCATCAACATGAAACCAGTTCGGAAATCTTCTACACTCCGCCTCCGCATAAAGAACAAGATTCGGATTTTCAACACCAATATGAAGTCAGTCATTTCTTCTATACGGGTCAGAAACTTGCACTGCGTGTCAAGAAAAGGATTTCCAACAAGTTGCACACTTTATCAACAGCTGCCACGTTTGTTGGCTCTATACTTAAAATCATATGGCCATGAAGAATTAGTGACAAGCAACTCTAGGAATGAACCAACCGAGAGCAGATTGCTCAACAAATATGTAGAAGAAAATGGAGATGGATCGGGCATACGTTGAGGAGACTGTCAAATGACATCACGCTCAATGCAGGCTATCGCTTGAGTGGAGTCCCAGTGGGAAACGGCGAGTGGGTCGTCAGTGCGAGGGTGACATGGAGGGGATCGTTTGGGGAGGAAGACATGAGAGACCATGGGGAATCATTGGGCCATTGGAAGAGTGCCGTGGTTGACAGGACAAAGTGGAGATGTGTTTTTGAAGTCCTATATCCCACTTGGAATCCAACGGAATAATGATATCTCAAACAATGAGTACTGGGTTTGAGTGGAAATTACATTACTCACTAAGGGGGCAGGTACATACAGTTTAAAGGTCTCATACGAAACGAAAAACGCATCCTAGATCCCACTGCTAGCCACCATCGACCAAAATTAATGATATTTCCTCTTTAGTTTATGAACATTACAACTGGTGAATACAATTTTCAAAGAGTGAAAATTTTCACATACATTTACTTCAAACTGTAGATAAAAAGAAACTGTTTTCGTTTAATGCAGAACTTTTTCAAAATATGAAGTATAACTGAAATTTATTAATCATGGATATAGAAGTAACATTTAAGCTGAGGTTATTTAAATACCGATAAAATGACTTTTCAATACTTATCAAGTTCACAGTAAATCCGCTACAGAACTTTCTTGAATGTACTAGTAGTTCTGACTGAAACACTCTTTTATTGAAATGATATTGTGGTGAGACCTTTCTGCAAGTTAAAACTGTAGACAACAACTGACGTCAATGTTTACGTCCCAAATGGGAGTCATGAGGAAAAAACAAGAACAAAGATTTACCTTGAGAAAATCATCACCCATTCACAGCAGACTTAACGTGTGCAAATACGATTCGCAAATATATGGCCTGACTTTCTAGGAAACGGCCACAAAGAGATGACAGAATAACCTTCAGCGGGAAAACAACCAATCGGAAGACGTTGCTTGTCTGCTAATAATAACGAATAATAATAATGTGCATAAAAATCTATAAATATCAAAATATTGCTGAGGCTGATCGTTGGGATCTATATTAAGAAGCCTAACTTATGTATCCAAAAGAAGCTGGTTGGTCCAGACATTATGGTCATCCCCCTGGCCATCAAGGTTCTAATGATCCTGAATTTGTTGTGGAAATTTCCTTAATTTTAATTGATATTCTATTTGGTTTTACATTTTTATGCTTATTATAATTTATATATCTTTCGTGAACTGTAATTTCATTGTGATCTTACTTAACAAATCGATATTAATTAAAAACACCAATATTAATATTGACGACTATTCTAGAATATTCTATGTGTATAAAAATATATGTATAATTGTAGCTCCAGAAGAGGAAATTATCGAAAAGGATATTCTTTGCTTAATTTTTTGATTTTTTCTAGATGCTTGAATGAATATTTATGCTATATTGAAATTTTCTATTATTTTTTTTAAAATATTTCATTTTCAGTCAACAGGATTTAGCACGTCAAGCTGAATACAAACGTGAATTGAATGCCATTAATGAACGCGTCGCATCGAAACCATTGCTGATAACACGACAGAATAAAATAATAGCTCGTAAACGTGCAGAGGCGAAATTCGATTCATGTGTACGAGATGCTGGATTAGATCCAAATGAGGTGCTTGAAAAGAGTAGTGAATGTAAACATCAGGATACGATAACAAATAAGAAAGGCAATTTGACGAAAGATATAGTAGAACGTAAGTTACTGCTTTAAAATTAGAATATTTAGACGATTTTCTAACTTGAAAGGTTGAGAAATGTATATATTCAGGCATGGTTATCTTAACTCTATTATAGATAACATTTTATTTTGATAAATCACACAGTGTTATACACTGTTATACCATATAAGGAGGGAACATCTGAGGGCCTACGTAGGATTGTCAATAAAGCAGGAATTAGAGCGGCATTCAAACCTACAAACTAACTCAGAGACAAGCTCTGTGGGATAAAAGACCCGGTGGACCCAATTAAACAAAATAATATAATTTACAAAATACCCTACAATGACTGTGAGTAAGGTCAACTAAATAGGTCAACCAAACTAGCAGGTCGGGGGTAGTCAGACTGTCGGAACATAAGAATTTAGCTAAGGTTAGAATGGTTGATCCCGAGAAGATAAGTAATTTAGAAAAATTCTCAGCACTACATTGCACTGCATGCATTAACACACAACCAAACAATAAGGTGGGAGAGGGTTCAAATTCTAAGAAGTAATATAAGTAGGTGGAGAGAGAGATTGTTTACTGAATCCTGGTTCATTGAGTCTACACTCAACAGATGCAACAGAAATGACTCAATGCAAATACCAGAGATATTTTTTTCCTTCTCGTTCCCCAGTGGAACATAAGGCTTCAAGCTAGTGGCTTGAAGTTTCTGTAGAAGTGTTTATTTTATAGGATGGGTTTGATAGCCTCATGCCCAACCTTCCTTCTTCACCAGCATTATTTCTGGCTTAGCGAGGTAAAGGAGTGCGTCAGCCGGGGATCGAACCCCGGAGCATGTGCATGGTCGGTGAGCGTCCTAACCGCTATGCCACCGACGCTCAAATGCCAGAGATATGGAAGATATTATTACCACCAGTCAAATTAGAGGACGATAATAAATAATCTTAAAATTCTACTTCAATTCACGTACATTATAGCATTCTAACAAGTAACTTATTATAACTATAAAAACACTCGTCTTATTTCCCATCTGATTGTACTTGATCAACAACACTCGTATTATTATTTCTGAATGTACATTATCTCATATTGATTTTTAGTCGAATATCTAGTCAATTCCACACATGTACATAAATGAAGGAAAAAAGTTGTGTGAGTGACTTGATATGATTATGAGCAGTAGTAAATTGTGCTCAAAACGTGGTCATCAGTTAATATTACTGTACAGCACTGTGTGATTTATCAAAGTAAAATCTTATCTATAATGGGGAGTTATACTCTACCACAGTGTCCAAGTTATATACTGATATCAGTAACGCAGAATAGTTACTCCATTTATTGAATCAAAATCTGAATTCACACTCATTTTCAAATAGGTTTCAACCTGCTTCTATACACTCTTCAAAGGGGATAGAAGAAGGACACTGCGGAGTATTGTAGCTTGTTTAGCACAAGATGATATATTATCAGTTATGTATGTTAGGTATATCTAGTGTGCAACGTTAAAACTATTTTTTAAAAGATACTGTTCGCAGTTAAGCTGATTGAAATACTTGATAAAATGCATTTATATATTTTAAAAAATTACTTTATTCCTTTATGTTCCTAGTGGAACATATGGCTTCAGGCTACAGCTTTGAAGTTTAAGTGATGGTGGTTTTATTTTTACCAGGTGAGGTTGCTAGCCTCACGCTTCACCTTCCCCCTTTACTGATCTTACTACCAGGTTAGCGAGGTTTAGGAGTGCGTTGGCCGGTGGCCGAACCCTGGACCATATGCATGGTTGGTGGGCGTTCTGCCTCTGAACCACAGACTCACGAAATACCTGCCACGGCCTAGAGGGTAGAGACAAAGTGAGTTGAAGTACCTGGGCGATGATTCCAGTACCTCTTACATGCCAAGTGAGTGCTCTACCATTTTACCTAGTACTCCAACATCTAACTTCTAAGGATCAGTCCTATAGTACCTATCACCTGGACGTCAAACAAACTTGACCTTGGCTAACCAGCCGTGATGATGATTAGTGTAGCCTAGTTGAGAGCGCGAAGTAGGTGTGTGGCTGTCCATCTAGCCAAATGCTTATGGCGTTAGTAAGTGTGAACTCGGCCGCCTCCTTGTTCGATCACCCAACCGAACCGGGGAGGGTGAGCGAAAGCGTTGTGATTCCCACTCACTACGGAGGGACTGACCTATGTTGAGCGATAGAATATGTTAACTGAAAATAACTGTATTAATGGCTAGAGAATAAGGTTCCTCTGTAGTGCATTTATTTATTTAGTAGGGCTTGTATAAATGGAAAATAATATAAGGATGTTAAATTTTGGTTATTTCTAATTTATTATTTTACTTTACACTTCCTTTTTATTCTGCAGCTTATGACCCTGAAAATCACTTTGGTGACCTTGGAAACAACTAAAACAACAGACTAGACGGATATAAAAATTGTCATTTTATGGAACTTTAGAGAAAAAAGAACAAGAACAACATTGTCTAACCTAATTTATTCACTAAAATTTCCTGTTTCCGGAATCACTAAGATTGTATTTATTTATCATTTTATTTCATGCGGACTAAATTATTTTAAATTATTGTTAGGAGTTACTTTTTTCTACCAAGCAAGATCTTTTAATTCCACATAACCTTTATACATTAATTTGATACAATTTCCTTTAAGTATCCTCACAAACTAACATACTTTCTGATACTTTAATAGGAGAATATTTAGCAAAATAATTTTACCTACTTGTAAGTAGCTTAATTGGATAAGAACAAAAAGTTGACGGTGTTATTATATTGTTACATAGTATTCACCAAAGAATGTTATACAATTTGCTTCCTGTTAGTTTCTTCTTCTTTCAAGCTGTAAGAGTCAGATAAGTTTAATTCTGGTTATATGTTTATCATTGTAATTTTAGAGTTTTCCTATAAAAATGTATTAAAATGCATTCAGATGTATACTACATCATTTGGTTGGTGCATGTGGACCCGCCTCACTGGTAGGCAGGCAAACAAAGCGGAGGGGAGAAGAACCTAAATGAGCTGAAAATAGAAAAAAGATCGCTGCCGTGTGTTTGTCTGTTCACTGTTGTAGCGCTGGTAAGAAATTCTACATTTTGGAGAATACTTTTCAATGCAACACAACTGTTGGCTATTTTTGCACCCAGTTATTGAATCATTGTACAGGGTTCTCAAGTAGACTTATTATCATCAGTATGGTGCCTGATTTAATACCCTTAGATGTTACGTCAGTTTTTTCCTCTAATTTCTTTGAGCAGTGCACTGTAGTAGGTTGAAAAGTATTTTTTCTCCTAAAGAAGCGTGAAAACATGAAATTACGAATTGAAGACGCTGGAGAACAATTAAAACAATATTAAATAAGGCGGAATTTATGAGTTTTTCTAAATTTCGTAGCTCAGAGTTTGATTCGAATAGGAGGAGAATCAAAATACTGAAGATTAGTTGAAGTATAAACAGAAAGTTTAAGCTTGGCATATTGGAATTTGTCGTAGTAATAATGACTAAAAATTACTTTATACGAGTTTGACCACGAGTTAATATCAGTTAGAGAACCATTGAAAACCAGCAGTGAAGTACTTGACAGTTGTTTCATCCTAGTTTGGGAACCATAGGCAGTACGCAACCACTGGGGCTAGAATCCAAGACCTTCCGGTTACAAGGCAAGCTCCTATGCCATTCAATCACTGCGACCCGTTTCAATAGCCAGCCCATGAATTCTAACTTCTGGCAATTCGCGATTTAGCGCAACCACCAACCAATGTCATCGGTGGGAACTTTATCCTCACACTTTACTGGATGGACCCCACTAATTACGACTTCTCACTAGAACTCCAGGAAACTCTGTCCTCTAGCAAGTCACTTTGTTCATAATTAACGATTTCTCTCATTTGAAATTCGTGATATGTACAATTTCATCATTGCCTTCCATGCGGTCATTATTATTTTTACGTATGCATATTTGGTGTGGTTGTGTTCTCTGAGCTGGATGGTTTGGTTGCGAAGCTTTCATTGCTCTACTGAGCAACATCTTCAGCGCATACTTCGAAGTATGCGCTGAAGATGTTGCTCAGTAGAGCAATGAAAGCTTCGCAACCAAACCATCCAGCTCAGAGAACACAACCACACCAAAATCATCCACCTGAGCTACAAATCTTCTCTATTATATCTAAATCATACGTATGCATATGTTTTGTAACACAGTTTGTTTGCACACAAATAACAAAGAAAGTTATGAATTGCCTTGGCTCCATTGTGCTCTACAAAACCGACTTTCCAGACTTGTTAGAATAACTTTTGAGGATAAAGCTAAGAATTCTATAATTAAAAGGATTAAAATTTACTGAATTATAGTAAAAGTCTTTCTAGGGAAATATCAACTGACATATAGCATTAAATGAATATTAAAATTCGAATTTATTTTGGATTTTCAAAAGAATGGTAACTGAACGGAAAATACTCTTTTCGATAACTTCATCATCAGGCTATACAGTTATATATACATTATAGTTAATGAACGAATTAGTGCCATGAACAACATTAATGTTGTATAAATACCATCGAATCAGTAATATCAATAGATTACAGTTCAGTAGCATCAACATAACACTACACACTGAATGTCAGAGAAATTAGGAAAGATAATATTACAAATTCATGAATTTATAGTCTCTACTGAAGGCCAGGGCAGTAGTAGTGGCTGGACTTGCTACTTCTCCACACAAAGCACTGGTTGTTTCACACGAATTGCGTGAATATATATATATATTAAAAGATGTCTTGAAATTTCATATAAACTAACAACCTACTCATAAGTAGCAAGTTTCTAAATTAAAAAACACTCATGTTGTTTCTGAAGTAACTCAATGAATTATCTTGCAATTTCTGAGTTTTATGAGAATACTTGATGACACCAGCATTATTTCTGGCTTAATGAGGTAAAGGAGTGCGTTGGCCGGGGATCGAACCCCGGACCATGTGCAGGATAAACCTCGTTGAATTTATCAAGGATGTTCTTTGCTTCATCCTCATTTTTTATAATCAAAATGTAACATCCATTTACCGACGATAGAATTCAAGTTCATCAGTAAGATCTTTCAAAGGCCCATTTTATAGTTTTGCGAGGAAAATGTCGGCTGGAATGGGTCCTTGTGGTGACCCCATTGCCACACCATCGATTTGTCTCTATAGTTCCTTATTAAATAAAAGTGGACATTCATTGTGCATTTCAAGAGAATCTCTTTCATAAAAGATATAGGAATGCAAACATCGATGTTTCGTCTTATGAGTTTGTAAGAGTTAGGCTTGGCTTAACTTAGACTTAAAATAACCACTCTTACAAAACTTCTTCACCGCTTATGACCTTAATCGTACTCTGCCTAACGTGCAAGTAGTAACGAACGGAATCAAGGTTAAAAGGCTTGAGATGGCAAGTGTGACTGGAACAGAATTGTATTTACACAAAAGAGATATGGAATTTGATAAGAAATAAGAGGTTACACACTTATCTGCAGTCTTGACTGTGGTAGGCTCGGAGAGTGCGCTGGATGAAAGCTCAACGAGAGAGCGAACCAAGAACGTACAAGAGTTTCACGAATCGAAAGAGGAAGTCGTGCTAAAGGTCAGGTGCGTCCGTTCATACAAAAGTCTGAAGGTTCAATGTACACTACAAGTTCTTCGCATACAAAGTCCACTGTTTCCATAAGTGGTACATTGGTGAATAAGGAAGATACATTAAATGAAATCATGAATCTATTGTCGACATTTAAACTTTTTATTCTTTCAACAAATCCAAAAGTATCCTTTACCCTGTATTTCACCAACTCGGTATGAAGAGGCTGTAAGACAAATATTTTCAAAGCAATAAAAAGAAAGAGCTGACTCAGTTTTCTGTGCTTTGAAGTACCTAAGTATTGGTTAAATACTGAAACTATGTGATCGCTACCCCCCCCTCCCCACCTGCCTCCATCAATTAACTGTCTGATTAACAAACTGAACCTTAGAATTCCAAAGATTCACTAGTCTATCTAGTGATAAAAGTTCCTAAGTAATTTAATCAACTTCAAATAGAAACATGGTAATACTATAATTCCTCACATAACTTATACATAGGGTCACAGATTCCTTTCTCGTGTCTGTGTTATTGTTTTTTAAAATATCAGTGGGATGTCAGGGGTACAAATTCCAAATTTATTGCAATGAACAAAACATTTTGACAGATTGATAAATTCAATGTGCTTCTTGATAGTTATTTATCAAGTTAAATCACTCTTACTGCATGCTTAGGTAAGTATTGGGAAAAGCCGGGAAGAAATACATTCATCCAGTCTCTCTATCCCTCGGCTCTCACATCAATAAAAGAAAGGTAATGTTAATAAAGTAAATGATATTTTTTACAGTCTGAGGTTGCTATCCTCACATCCAACCCTTCCTCTTTAGCGGATCTACTACGAGCTAGGCGAGGGTTAGGAGCGCGTCGGCTGTTAATGATGGTTTTCAACTTTAATCCAAGTCAGATATAATAAGAGAGTGATAATCATAAAACACTTTGGATTAAGTGAAGTTTAAAATAACTCATTGTATGTGTAAGTGCATTGGTGGCACAGCGGTAGAATGCTTGCCTACCACGCCTCATGTGATGCAGGGTTCGATCTCCGGCCACCGACGCACTCACAAACCTCGCTTAGGCAGTAATAAGACTGGTAAAGAGGAAAGGTTGGGCGTGAGGTTCACAACCCCATCCTGTAAAAATAAACACCACTGCTACCTTTACTTCAAGCCTGTATATTTATACAAGTAACCTAGTATGTTTCAGATTAACAATGACATTACTGAAAACAAAACACGTAGATCGGCGAAGAGTCTCTTTTCAGCGATGAATTCATTTTCTTAGCTGTACAATCGCAAATATATATGAGTTATTTTGTATGTATGTGTACATTAAGTTTGTCAAACAAAAATAAAATTGGTTATAGTTATTTTAACTAAACAGGTGAAGATTGGTAATTAGAGTTACGTAATACAAAATTAGTCAAGAAAATTAGGTGTTCGTGAAATTAGGGTAGTAACAAAAGTGAGGAGTTGTCACAAACAGTTGCTAAAAAGGAGTTATGTAATAATATGAATAGTTTGATGAGTGAGGTTTACTCAGGATGCACATATGAACAAAGTAGACAATACGAAATTACGTAAGAGTTCTAAATGAATGCAAGAATTATAAGCAATTAAAGAACAGGCAAAGAAACCAAATTAAGTCATCAAAATATAAAAAAATCAAATCAAAAAAAGTTGTTACCAAGACAATAGAAGTGGTTGAGTAATCCTCTTTTGTATGTACAGCTCCGGTTTTTCTATGTGAATGGCCAGAGCTTCAGCGATACAAAAAAGACGAAACCGTATTGCCTATTCCTATTTGCATCCTGAGTAAACCTCACTCATCAAACTATTCATATTATTACATAACTCCTTTTTAGCAACTGTTTGTGACAACTCATCACCTTTGTTACTACCCTAATTTCACTAACACCTAATGTAAGCGCAATATCGCTTGAAATTAAGTCACGCGTAGATATAGGCTATCCCGGTCCAGAACAAACAAGAAGCCGGTCACTGTTTCTACGGTACTATTAATAAACAAATCAATTAATATATATACAACAAACCTTAACGGTTTCAAGAGTACAATACACAATGCTTAACAGAAAGCAAGGAACCGCTATCAGAGCGGAATAACGTTAAAGCCAAAATTACGAACCAGCCGGATCAGACACGACCGTTCAGGTAAGCAGTCAGTAGAAGAATGAACCCAAGTAAGAGATAGACAAAGCATAGGCACAAAGAGAGAATTTA